TCTTTTGGATTTACTTTATTACTTATTCATTAAGGCAATATTAATTATGCAACCACTCTATTGCAGGCACTAATGACTTGGGATACAACCATAAAAAAGATAGTCATGGTCTCTGCCCTCAAGGGGCTAATACAGTTACAAAATAAGAGAAAAAGAAATGAATTCAATATAATTTTAGGTGAGTATAAATCTTATGAAGCCAATGAAAGCAGGCTAAAGAAAGAGTTGAAAGGATGCTCATTTTAAATACAATGGCCAAGGAAGGCTTCTTTGTGGCATAGGTATCTGAACAGGGATTGAAAGACTTTTGAGGGGATTTGGAAAAGAGTGTTTCAGCTTGTGTGAATAGAAAAAGCAAAATCCCTGGGATAAAAATGAGCTTAGAATTAAGGAACGGCACAAAGTATGTGCCTGCAGTGGAGTGAAGAAAGGAGTGAGTGGAAAGAGATGGGTTTGGAAAGTAATTTAAGGGCAACAGACCATCTTAATAAGTTTTTTATTGGATATTGTGAATAACGAAGGAAAGGAATAAATAGATTAGTAGAGTTGCATTCCATAGAGTAAATGTATCAGAAGGTGGTTTAAATTGTAAACTTGAATAATTTTATATGGATTACAGAAAGGAGCTTGTAGATAAATACTTCAGGATATGTGATACTGGAAGAGAGAGAGAGAGAGAGAGAGAGAGAGAGAGAGAAAAGCAGAGGAAGAGAGAGAAAGGGGATTTATTTACAAGCTAATGAATAAAAATTTTAGTAGAGGGCTGAGCCAATAAACCTGGTGTTCACCAGGAACTTTGAAATTTAATTTGAAAAGAAGAAATTATACAAATTATCATTGGTAAAAGAATAGGTCACTTGGAAAAAATAAATAAGCAATGAAGAGTTTTTTCCCTGTAGCCTCAGTGTAGTGAAAAAGAGATTGCAAAACAAATTTTCTGTGCCTTACCTCCTCCATGGAATTTATATTAATTAAGCCATGTCAATGTCTCATACATATGACAGTCTCCACCCCAGGGGAATCAGAGTTTAAGTAAAAACATAAATACCTTTTCTTCGGCACCTTAAATTATGTGTCCTAGCAGATGGAAAGTGTTTTAAAAGATTCTTAGAGATTTAAAGATCAC